CCTGGAAGTCTCACTTGAGCGAGAAATGACAATTTTGGGCTGATAACACAGTGTAATCGATTACATGGTCCATGTAATCGATTACATGTTGATATCTGATCAGACATGCGTAATTTTTCATGATGTAATCGATTACACTATGCATGTAATCGATTACACTATGCATGTAATCGATTACACTATGCATGTAATCGATTACACTATGAATGTAATCGATTACATCGTATAAAAACGTCAGATATGTGTAATTTTCATGATGTAATCGATTACACTATGCATGTAATCGATTACATCATATAAAAATATCGCCACTGTGAGATTCTCGCCTGAGCGAGAATCCCTCGCTTGGGCGAGAGCGTCAGAGCTATAAAAGTAAGGAAAGGGTTTCACAAACCCTAATTTTCACTTCTTTTATCCCTTTCACTCCTAGCGGCGACTCCTCATGGATTCCAACCATTTCCTCCACTAAACCTCAAAAACACATCAAACCTCTCCCTATTGCTTCTTAATGGAACATTGGAGTGCTTTGGAGAGGAAAAAGCAACAATGGAGGTTGAAGGAGATGGAGGGAGATGGAGCTCTTTTGCGGAGCAACGGAGCTTACGCAAACTAAGGTGAGGGAGAAGACCATTGTGGTCTTAGAGTAATTCATTAGAGTCATCATTCTCCGATTTCCCTCAAGAATCGGAGCATATTAACGGATAGAAACTCTTTCGGGTGTTTATGGCCCATGTGAGAAGATGGTTCTAACGTTAATGTGTTATATGATGAAGAATATGTTGTGTGTGATTTATTTATGATAATGTTGTGTTATGGATGGTTGATTTGCTATAAACATATATGGGTGTGTTTGTATCAATGATTGTGTGATGAGTTATTGATTTGTTAAATGTGGCGACGAGTATGTCTATAAAAATGATTAAGTTGTGAGTTGCTTAATTGCTATAAACATAGGTGGGTTTATTTGTAATAATGATTTTGTGATGAATCGCTTGTTGGTGATAAATGAACATAATTATATTATGTGATGATGATGTTGTGAGTGGTTCTGTTGTGGTAGGATATGAAATACATTATGTTTATGACATTGATGTGGTGTCTTGTGTTTTGAGGAAGTTGCAATGTTAGAATAATGTAGTGGAAATATTATATTGTGATTGATGTTGTAGTATGGAATTGTGACCTGCCCTTCGTGGTACGGAATTGTGACCTGCCCTTCGTGGTACGGAATTGTGACCTGCCCTTCGTGGTACGGAATTGTGACCTGCCCTTCGTGGTACGGAATTGTGACCTGCCCTTCGTGGTACGGAATTGTGACCTGCCCTTCGTAGTACGGAATTGTGACCTGCCCTTCGTGGTACGGAATTGTGACCTACCCCTCGTGGTATGGAGTTTGACCTGCCCCTCGTGGTATGGAGTTTGACCTGCCCCTCGTGGTATGGAGTTTGACCTGCCCCTCGTGGTACGGAGTTTGACCTGCCCCTCGTGGTACGAAGTTTGACCTGCCCCTCGTGGTACGGATTTTGACCTGCCCCTCGTGGTACGGAGTTTGACCTGCCCCTCGTGGTATGGAGTTTGACCTGCCCATCGTGGTATGGAGTTTGACCTGCCCCTCGTGGTATGGAGTTTGACCTGCCCCTTGTGGTATGGAGTTTGACCTGCCCCTCGTGGTATGGAATTTTGATATGCCTTCGTGGTATGAATGTGACCTGCATTCGTGATGTTGATTTGATTGGCCCTTTGTGATATTAGGTGGTCGTAGTTGTATTGAATTGTTGTAGAAGTGTGGTACTGATGCGTTGAAATGTCTAAATGAAATGTGGTGATTATACTGATTGAATAGGTGCACATTATGTGGTTTAAGGTATTGACTGGTATATAAATGGTATATGTTTACTATGATTGATTTTAGATGATTGTATAGGTTGTTATACTTTAATGATATTACTCCATGTAATTCCACGCTACGGTCACCGTAGTTGGTTCTTACTCCCTCTGCTTTTCCTTGTCTATGTGTTATATATGAGTTCAGGATGTTGCTGTGGCGTCGTGGATGTTTGCTGATGGGAGTATAGACTGGAGTAGTCGTTTTTGTATTCCGAAGTTATATTTGTATAATGTATGTAATATGAGAAATATGTTGAAGTAGCTATGTTATATAAATGAACTTTTTTGAAAGATGCAATAAGATTAGCATGATTACCTTTATCAGTGTTGTAATTGAAACAAAGGATAATTGTATGAATTATGGATTAGAATAGAATGTGATGTAATGTTTTAATGAAAAAGTATTATTGATTATTTCCGCATTTTGAATTGGAAAACTTAACTAATATTTGCATTTAATAAAGTTTTCAAAATTTTCGAGTTATGAAAATCGGGTCGTTACAGTGTAGATGTTGATTCTGCTTTTAGAGAAAATGAGGTAAAAGGAATATTGATGTCACGTGCGTTGTCGATAGTTGTTAAGCTACGTTGAAAACTTGAAGTCACATAGTCTCTGTACAACTACAAAAATGTTATTTTACAATTAAGATTGTACTTTAATATATTAAGAGATGTTTATGATGTGTGTAAATATAAACTATGAAAAGGAAGTGAGAGAGAATGATAATTTCATTTGCTATAGGAGAAGTTCTATAATTTAAGTACAACTATTACATAATCCATCCTTATATATATATATAAGCAACAATGAAAGTTGAGCTTGATGAGAACTAGATCATAAGCATTTTATTTATGTTTAGTGGCCATATTTGAACACTGAACATTAATTATCATTAAAAATATTACATTTTATTTTCAATGTAAATGGTTACTTCAGTGAGATTAATAGAATCTGTAAGATAGCTATACTGATAACAATAGGGGAGGGATTCACTTACTCTAAGAGTAAGTGAAAAAAACTTACTCCACATCTTAACCATTCAATCTTGGAAAATCCAATGGTTTAAATATACTCACCAATTCAAACCATTGGATTTTCCAAAAATAAATGATCATGATATGTAGTAAGTTTTTTCCACTTATTAGAGTAAGTGGATCCCTCCCCATAAAAATAATAATATAATGAGACTAAGAGTCATCTTATACTCTTGTTTATTATTATGAAGCTAGTATCACATTTACAATATCATAAATGGTGATATCATATTAGATAGTTTTAGATGTTTAAAAATTAAATCACATGTGTAATAATGGATATTCATATATACTTGTGGATACTGTTAAACATGTTCCGAATAAACACTAATTACTTGTTCCAATCTTATTCGTCCAATTAAAAAGTACAACTTAAATAAAAAGAAAAGTCTTTATTCAATACACAATTATTTTTTAATTATATATTTTTTAATCGGTAAATATTAGTATGTTAATATTTTGTTGTGGGGCGAGACTCGAACCTCAACTTCCTCCTCTCCATCTCTTATAACTATGGGTGAGACTAGAAGCTACAACTCATTCATTTCATTTCTTAAATTATTTATCTTAATCATCATATCACTTTATGAGTCACTTTTTAATTATATATTTATATATCTTTTCTTATTATTTCACATTCTCTCTTTATCTTTGATTGATTTATCCTTCACCATTCTCACCCTCACCAGTATACACAACTAATTTCATTTCTACACGGTGTCAATTAAGCAACACTTATGGCATTGGTGTTCAAATTGAACTTTGTTCAAAACTTGGAAGTAGCTAAAAGTGAACGTGCTGAGAAACAGATAGGAATAAGAGTGAAAATGTGAGTTGAATGCAAAAAATATATATTGGAGAAAAAGATGGATGCAGGTAAGAGTTTTTTTATAGTGTCACTCCATTATCCACAATTTAATCAACATTGACTCTTAAATAAAAATAATACATATGAATAAGAATAATATATTGAATGCACATAAAACTTTACATACATATTCCATTTTATATATAATGGATAACTAGTAAGGGAATATTTTTGAAACAGAGATCTGATAATAACATACAATATGATAATTAAAATAATTAAACTTAATCCTCATAGCCAATCTACAAAACCAAATGATTGATAGTGGGAGCTTAAATATGAGGCAGAGATTTTTATTTTACTTTTTTAATATGAACAATATGAGTTTTCTTAATTATATAACATAGTCTAACCACACATATACAAAGAATTCAATAATGACGGATTTCGGGGACGTTTCAAATATGTTATTATATAAAATGCATATAATTAGAATAGAATAGAGTATCAATGTTATATATTGGACTCATGTCCATTGTTATTATACACACTAAATAGAAGCACCAAATATAAACACACTAGAAGCACTTGGGTCCACGAGTGTGTTAGAAGTTATAATTCTCATTCTCTAATAATATCTTAGTGGCTGCTCAATACTCTCGATAAAGTAGAATGTAAAGATTTAAACACGGTAAATCATCTACACACGGTTATTTTTTCATCTACGACTTATTTTTATTATTTTTTATTTGAGAATTAATAATAGAGGAGGGATCCACTTACTCCAAGAGTAAGTGGAAAATGACTTACTTCACATCTTAACCATTCAATATTAGAAAATCTAATGGTTTATCACCATTCAATCTTGGAAAATCCAATGGTTTAGATAAATCATTAGATTTTCCAAGATTGAATGGTTAAGATATGGAGTAAATCATTTTTCACTTACTCTTGGAGTAAAGAGTAAGTGGATCCTTACCCTTAATAATATAGAATATTAATACATATTTGTCTCTTATAAAGATATCCGAACAATATTACGTGGGAACCAACAAGTTGTTAAACAAGCTTTATAAAGTTGAACCCGCGGGTATAAATCAAAAGATTTCTGTGGGTCATGCATCCACTTCATTACAACCATAGAACAAACACAATATTCAAAAAAAGAAGGCAATACAAACACGACATTAAAATATTACACTTTGGGAATCTCACTCATCTTCAACTAAGTCATTACTCACATGTGGTAATTGCCCCCCATTCCCCTTTGGTGCCACGTTTCATATTAAACGAAATGTCATTTTAGAGTCTGGGTGCCTTCGGGAACACGGACACAGGTGGTGCATAGCTGTCATCAGCTCGTGCCGTAAGGTGTTGGGTTAAGTCCCGCAACGAGCGCAACCCTGTTTAGTTCTCACTCATCTTCAACTAAGTCATTACTCACATGTGGTAATTGCCCCCCATTCCCCTTTGGTGCCACGTTTCATATTAAACGAAATGTCATTTTAGAGTCTGGGTGCCTTCGGGAACACGGACACAGGTGGTGCATAGCTGTCGTCAGCTCGTGCCGTAAGGTGTTGGGTTAAGTCCCGCAACGAGCGCAACCCTGTTTAGTTCTCACTCATCTTCAACTAAGTCATTACTCACATGTGGTAATTGCCCCCCATTCCCCTTTGGTGCCACGTTTCATATTAAACGAAATGTCATTTTAGAGTCTAAATTGTTTGTCTCACTTTTTGTGTCACAATGATGTTCTAATCCAATTAAAAGTTAACACATATTTATAAATAAAAATCATAAAAAAAGAAGATAATTTTTTTATATTATTTAGTAGGATTTGATTGATTTGGAACATGAGAACATAAATTTTTTGGGATAAAGAATCCTAATTCATTTTTTATTTGTTAGAAAATCAATTATTAATAGAATATATGCGATGTAAGTTTAGACGTTACCAACCATGTCATTTTCACTGAAGTCATGAAGTCATGATACACATAGGCATAGCCACAGCCACGTTAAGATGAGAAGATGGATGTGTACCCTCAAATTTTGTTTTTATGTATACTATCCTATAGTTTGTATTTTTTGTCCATCTAGTTATGTAAAATTGCACTGAAGTCCCTCATTCTCATAATTTAATACATTTTGATCCAGTTTTGTATTAGGGTTGAAAACGAGTCGAATCAGAGCTTGATAAGGATTTGCTCAGCTCATAACTCAACTCGAGTTCGATACAAGTTATTTTTTAGCTCGAGTTCAGCTCGGTTAAAGTTCATGAACTGTTTGACTGAGATCGAATTGATTCATTTAGACAACTCAAATAATTAATTCATTTTAGATAATATTCCACAAGATTATATATATAAATATAACATTGTTTATATATAATAACAATAAACATAAAAAATTAGCATATATATATGTGTATATATATGTATATATATATGTGTATATATATCAATGAACTTATCATCCTAACGAGTCGAATTGTATCTAGGTCAAGTTTGACTTTTTATTTAATGAGTTTCATTTCTAGCTTAAGTTTGGATCATTTGGTTCATGGACTAAGTTTATCGAACTAAATAATAAGTCGAGTTTTGAACGAATACTGAGTTGATTCCATTCATTGTCATTTCTACCATCGGACCTTGTCACAATCTTGGCCAGGTCATGGCACATGTCTTGACACACCATGGTCAAGTCTTGCGCATCTTAGAATTAGGCTTTATTTCATTTCATGTGATGCTTGTAAGTTTAACCCCTAGATCCGACTGATGATAGATATAGGAAAAGATATGTGTTTCACATCCTCTATCACTTCATTCTAGCTGTTTTAACGTGTCTGTAATGGTTTGGCTTGACCTTTGAGATATATGTCATATTCTACTTAGCATAGATTGGAGAAGGTTACTTAATTGGGTTTTCATACTTGCAACGGAACAAAATAGGATTGGTTGATTTCTTAATTAATCGGATTCTAATCGGTACAATTGTATGAAATTGTGGACCACAATACGTGATGCAGTCACAATATTGTGATTACGGTGATCGCCATAACTGCATCATACAACAATTGTGATATGACACTGAATCGTAATGATGTAACCGTAACGAGCCGCAACGCAACCACATTAGACCAAAATTTTATAGGGTATAAGGTCATAATTTAGACAATGAGAAAATGAAGAATTTTATGTTTATTACATTCTTAGTTTATCCATTTTTTAGGAGTAGATTAATTTCATAGTGTTGTGGTAGAGTGATATTTGCACTCTATTAATTGGTGCTTTCACTTGGTCCTCAATGCCTCCAATGAGTGTGGATAATGCTCTCTTGTTCATAAACAAGAAGTTTGAACAATTCCAAAATGAAGATGATGCAAGACATGAATATCTTCTCAAGGCTCTTGCCAACCTTAAGCATAAGGTAAACATCCTTCCTTCATACTCTCATTATTCTCATGTTCCCAACACCCTCCAAAACCCTTACCTCCACACTTAAACTACTACCACCAAATCCCACGACCAAATATTTTATTCCCCTTCTTTTCCACAATGGCTAAAACAACAACCTCCCCCAAAATCACCTCCACAACCAAATTATCTACCATCCCAATACTATTGTTCTCCACCATTTCAGCCTTATTATTCGTCAACCCAACAACCTTATACACAACACCAAATTCTTATGCCATCTCATTTACGACCCCAAGGTCTAACACATTCAATTCCCAAACATTTTTATCCACATTCACAGGGTATTGTTGCACTATTAAATAACACTCACCAAATTCAATCTCAAAATGCTATAGGGAAGCCTTTAATTCCTAATCATCACACGCACATACAACCATTTTCACAATCTGCCAATACCATTCAAGTTAGACTAGGACAAGCATCTTAATGACAGTCTAGGACACTAGAACCGGTTGGGAGACAAGGTGGTTTCATTGAGCAACAAACTGACTCTGCCTCTAGTAAAGCAACCGAGTTGAATTCATTTCATAAAATTCTTCATTTTTTCAGTGATTCATTTCATGAATGAACAACATACTATTTAAAGAAAATAAAGAAACCATAATATGATGATGACCATACAGAAGAAAATAAGGACAAGAATGGATTGATGCTATTCTTATTAGAATTGTGAAACGTGAACACTAGTTTTTGGTTTTTGTTACATTTCTATAGCAAGCTGCTGCAAGCAGCATAAATAGAGAATTGATCCAACGGATCAATTCTATACTTGGAATAAAATAAAGAAACATAAATACTATAGAGAAAAACATGGTAATTTCAACAGCTAAAAATGGAAGGAAATAATGGCCTTCATAAGTGATTGATTGAGTCATTTAGTTGAGGATAGCTGAGTATGGTTAATATCCTCCCGCAAACGAGGCCGAGGTTGAAGGCAGAGTTTGTCCTGGAAGCGCATGAGAATGTATTTGGACACTGGTTTAGTGAAGAGGTCTGCAACTTGATCATTAGTGGGAACGTAGTGAGTAACAAGAAGCCCAAGTGAAACTCGTTCACGAACAAAATGATAATCCAATTCAATGTGTTTGCTGCGAGCATGAAACACTGGATTGATGGTCATGTGGAGCGCACTAATGTTGTCACAATAGAGTATTGGAGGGGAGAAGAGGGGAACGCGGATGTCGTTTAAGATGAATGTCAACCATGTGAGTTTAGCTGTAGTGTTTGCCATGACCCTATATTCAGTTTCAGTGCTTGAGCGGGAGACTGTGTGTTGTTTCTTTGCGCACCATGAGATGAGATTTCCTCCAAGAAAGGTACAATAGCCAGTGGTAGAGCATCGAGTGGTAGGACAACCTGCCCAATCTACATCAGAAAAGGCAAAAAGGTTAAGATTAGTGTTGGAAGTAAAATGGAGACCTACATCAATAGTTCCTTTGACATATCGTAAGATACGTCGAACCATTTTTAAATGGATAATTGTGGGAGAATGCATGAATTGGGAAGCATAGTTAACACTATAAGAGAGATCGGGACGAGTAAGAGTAAGGTATTGTAAGGCTCCAACAATCCCACGATAGTAGCTTGGATCATCAAGGGGAGTGTCATTTGACCCAGTCTTGGTCTTGGCTTCGAGTGGTGTGCTCATTGGCTTACAATCAATCATGTGGGCTCGTTCGAGGATAGTAGCAGCATAATGTGTTTGAGATAGATGGAGGCCATCAATTTTCGGGAGTATCTCAATTCCAAGAAAATGGTGGAGAGTTCCCAAGTCCTTCATAGAGAATTCAGATTGCAAGAGTTGAATGAAGGCAGTAACTAGAGAGGCAGTAGATCCTGTAAGGAGTATATCATCTACATACAGAAGAAGAATTAAGGATCCTACATCAGAGTGCAAAATAAATAAAGATGGGTCAGCCAAGCTACAAAAAAAAACCATAGTTGATGAGATAAGAACTAAAACGGTCAAACCATGCTCGAGGCGCTTGTTTAAGACCATAAAGAGCCTTTTGTAGTTTGCAAACATGGTTTGGGTATTTAGGATCAGTCATGCCAGGAGGTTGCTCCATGTATATGTTTTCAGCAAGCACACCATGCAAGAAGGCATTTTTGACGTCAAGTTGGCGAATGGACCATTTTTGAACAAGAGCTATAGTGATAATTAACCGGATGGTTCCTGGCTTGATTACAGGAGAGAAAGTTTCAGTATAGTCCACTCCATCAACTTGGTGATATCCCTTTGCAACAAGGCGAGCTTTGAGGCGATCTAGAGTCTCATCAGGTTTGAGTTTAAATTTGAAGACCCATTTAGAGCCAATAACATGCATGTTCGGGATGCGAGGAACAAGCTCCCAGGTTTGATTCTTATGCAAGGCTTCGATTTCTTCGCCCATTGCGGCTTTCCATCCGGGGTGAGATAATGCCGAACGAATGTTATTCGGGTTACGTGGAATGTCGGCACAAGGCATGGTAATCAAGGCGTACTTAGGATTAGGCTTTATAATCCCGTGTTGCGAGCAAGTAACCATTGAGTGTACAGGTACATCATGTGGTAGTTGAACCGGTACAGTAGTAATAGGCTCAGGGTGTTGATTTGAAGTAGGACTCAGAAGCTCATGTTCAGTATGTAAATGGTGTGATGAGAGGCCAGCTTGTTCAGGTTCAATCTATGAGGATTGGTCTGGTTGATCAGTAGGAGTGACAAGCTCAACCTCATTTTCAGTATGTAAATGGTTTGGGGAGTGTTCCGGCTCCTCAAGTTCAACATGTAAGGATTGTTCTGGTTGATCAATAGGCGGAATAGGAAGTTGTAAGGCAAGTGAGTGTGCTAAATTTGTGGGTAGCAGACTGGAGCATGATGATGAAGTGGAAGTTGTTCCTATTAAATCTGCACAAGATTTAGAATAAGTATGAGGTAGCCAAGAATCAAATATGCTAACTACATGTTGTGTAGGAGAGGGGATTATATTATGATGATTAGTTTTATATGGAAAAAATAATTCATCGAAAACAACATGCTGTGAGATAAAAAATTTCTTAGTAGAAGGATGAAAGCATTTATATCCTTTATGTGTATCACTATATCCAACAAAAACACAAGGAATAGTTTTGGGATCAAATTTGTTGCGTCTTGTGTCCCATGTGTAAGGGAAGCATTTATAGCCAAAGACTCGCAAAGAGGAATAGTT